ATATTAAACCGACGACACGGTTTAATTTGTTGTACTGTATAGCGAAAAGCGCTCGTTCTAACGATGCGATAGATCATCCCTTTCTAATAGATTTCGGAATAAGACCGAGAGAAAATCCTGAGACAATCGCTTTATTCTGTAGAGGACTTTGCATAAATCGTGTTTATCCATTCAGAAATACAAAATCAGATAAAGGAAATTGTAAAATTTACAATTTACATTCTCGTCGTTTCCGGTCACGGCTGGAAAGTTTCATATTTCGTAGGACGATAACCACTCTTTCTCTCGTTAATTGAAGTGCATATAAGAGAAATTTAATATTTTGAATCATCCATCTCACATATTCTGGATTCTTTCAATCAATAAGAGCTTACTTTCCCGATTGTAATTTTATGGCTCACTTAATAGGTCTACATTGTTGTCGATCGAATACTGCAGGCCGTATTCATCCATCAAGCAGGAAATTGTTACGTGTCCGAAGTTACACATACAAACCGAATGCCATAAAAAAGCTTTATCGAATCTTTTACCTTTTATAATTTCAGAGTTGACCTAGCCATGTCGTGTCCTCTGTCGTTGTCGTCGTCTAAAATTTTCAAGTTATTCCAGAGGATTTTTTAAAGATTAATAATTAGCGTTTGTAACTAAATAAAATTTAATATTCTTTCTTTTATTATATACTTTCAAGATTTATAATAATTGTTGCAACTGAATTTAGTTCGTGCCGAAAATGAACCCGGCTGCAGACATCCGATATCTTCTACTTTTTTTCGTTTCTATTTGACAATGTCTTTCCAATAAGCCTCGTTTAGTTCTTTAAAAGAATCTATTTTTTTACGATATACCTTTAAATTTTTCAACTTCATCCTATTTTTTTTTTATTACAGTGTAATTTTTAACCTTATTACAGAAGGGTTAATTTCATTGGTTACGCACCATCGAGTGCAAAATTAATAAGTCTAATGATTATCAATTTCTAATTTGACGATAACAACACCAAACTGTTGCTTTAATAATAATAAGAATAATAATATATAAGTATAGTTCGTTTACAGTGGCATATATAGATATAAGTTATGTTTAAATTGCTATTAAATATTAGAGATAAAATTGCTTAGTAAGAGGTTTTATATTTTAAAAACTTATAAATTTATTTAATTATAAAACTTTTGATTTAAAAATTGCAAGTATTTTTATAATGGAAATTTTTCTAATGATGTGTAGTAAAATATGTCGATACGCGCTTCTGAAGAAAATAAAATGAAATACGCAGGTGAGAAATGTTATAAGACAATATACTTGAACTATAACGTGATAAAGAATCATTAAATTTAAAGAAATATCTTTCAATCTTATTTAAAGTTTCGTTAGACTTAAAATCGATGGTTTAAAGAAAAATGGGTTTGGATGAAATCCAATAAGAAAGCGAAAATTTCACATTTCTTAAGCTAATCTAGGTGAATAGATTTACCTATCGAAATTCATATTTATTTTACTCGTTCCTTTTTAACTAGTATAATTTGCATTTTCACCAAAGGTACAACGCTGAAAATGTATAATGGCTTCACATAAATTTCCTCGGCGACTAATCTACATTTATTCGAAGCTCTAAACCGATCTTATTCACTTTTAAATTTTCGTTCTTCGCTTCTCTAATCTGTTCAAGTAAATAGGACAAAATCGAAAGTGACATTTTATGGAAGTTTGTTGATCGAGTTGCAACCGAAAGTAAATTAAGAACTTCGCTTTCCTCTTTGATAATGCTTAGTGTTTAGACTGAATTTAGTTTATTCTATTATTTACAACGGCTAAAATCTCGTTCCAGTTTAGATAAGATTCTTAATTAAAAGAACAAAAGACGATTTTTAGTTAAAATATTAAATTTTGTTATTGTGTTGAATGCGTAGAAGAGTCTGAACAATACTAAAAAAAGATTTTAAAATGGGGGGAATACATTATATATATATATATATACACCGAGCGCAAATATGTGTTTATAAGGCGCATTGCATAGTATGGACGAAGTTGAGCCGTCGACAGCTGTTTTAGACAGTAAAGACAGATGGTAGACGCATATTCTTGATGCTTCTTATTCTTAAAGGCAGAATTCTGTTTATCTATAACTGCTGGACAGGTCTCTGTTTGAGACTATTATTCCCCAAAGATTTTCTAGAAAAGTTATAACTTGTAAAAGATACAAATCTCCGGACGGTGGGCGTTAGCATCGTTATTTTTCAAATGAAATATTTTGATTAAATTGGTTTAGCACCCACACAGTTATTTTCAAAGAAAACTGAATTCGACAAATTTCGTAAGTCGAATTATCGATCGATCGATTGAATATAGTAGAAAGAATATAATTTTAATTGCCGCCTTATTAAACATTAACGCCAATGATCAATTTTGTTTTATCCGGAACCACTCACAAAATTGAAGAATGGAAGCATAAAAAAATGAATATAATCGATCGAATTCAGACTATTTATGGTAATTACAATAACCCGACATATTTCATACGCTTATTATTTATTTAAATCGATTAAAATTACGGTTTTATCTCGAACTGTTTGGAGGAAGAACATTCATTTACGTTCCGATTTATTTAGCACGGTAAGAAAGGAGACATCTAGGATGCTATTACAAGGAAAAGATGACCGAAGAGTCCTGTTACATTTAAATTAATTGAGTTTAAAGCATATTTTAAAAAAAGAAAAATATCGAAAATCGATCGGTTACAGAATTAAACGAGAAAAGTCATTGTTTCAGCTGACGACCGTGACGCCCTTGACCGTGGCAAGGGCACTCGATGCCCGATCCCAACGACTATTACTAACACGCCATTTCGTAACCTTAAAATTATTAACTCTAATTGCAATTTATTAACCACTTAATCCTTATTTAGAACCATTCAGGAGAATATGTTTCGTCGGTGTGAAAAGAGTCGAACCTTGTATCCGTGTAAAGAAAAGGATGTTTATCTGAACGCTGAAGTTTATAGAAGACATCATTACCGAGTCGCAAAATTTCATTAGCACAAGATAACGCCACCGGTAATGGAAGTTTTGTCGCCCCGCTGCAAATCAAGTTTACTCTCTTTCTTTTTATTATCATTATTTTTCAAATCTCCAGAATGTTTATATAAAAAAAAATCATCGGTCTGCGGATAAATATATTTATTAAATTTAAATTATTAATGCGTATTCCTGAATATTTTCGTTACTTTAAAAAAAATTATTTATTCTTACGATTAGATTAATAATTGAAAATATACGAACGTAAGAGAAATAAAAATTTATAAATTATTTAAAGTAAATGCTTCGACAAATATTTAATTTTTTCGCCTTCTTTATTTAATAGTAAAGTGGAAATATTTATGTTTTATCCATTACTTTGGATAAAAAGGGGAGAGAAATGAGACATTAATCGTATATAGGCTATATATTTTTTTCGGGAAATATTTTTCGACGATTAAAATTTTTTTACTGAACATTGAGATTTTTTAACAGCGTGTTTGCTCTCAAATTCAAATGGAAATCCAATGTCGATATACTTGGGTTTCTGGCAGACTTAACGCTTTCCAACTTCTAATGGATGCGTTTCTGGTCGAGAGAAACTCCGAGTTGGACATTAAGTCCAGCTTTTACTCCTTAAGTATAGCGCTTGTTCGAGGACGTTAAGTTTGGACACACGTTCGATTTATTCTATCTTAATTCATCTCCGGAGATGGCAATAATCTGTACGCGATTCTAAACTGTCGCAAATGTCGTCTTAATAAATTACCGAACACAAATGTTAGCGACTTGGGTTTTCGTCGATACTGTAAATTAATAAAATGAATCGGACGAGAACGCTCTTATCTTAATCGAGATAATTTTTTTTCTTTTTATATTTAAGTCGATTTATTATTCTCTGATTAAAGAAAATAAATAGAACAAAAGGAATTTCGATTCTATTTCTATCGATTTATAGATAAATAATTTATATTATAGTTAAAGTTCGAATTTCGATTAAGATATAAAACCGCTTAAAATTGGTTCTTCTTAACCTCATAAAGCAAAATTTGAAAGACATTCTGCGATAAAGCCAACTGTTCGTCCGTTTTCAGCCAAGCTACAAACGAGAATGACACATTCTATCCAGTTTCTTCTCGACAAAGAAAAGTTGCCGAACATTTCTTCTGCTTTTCTGCTCTGTAGAATCCTAGGCAACTGACTTGGAAAGAAGAGCCCTTGCACCAGTCTGATTGAAGAAAAAGCTAAATTCGAATATCCAGATATACGAGAAAATGTTCTTACTGCACCCACCGCATAAGAAGTAAAAGAGTTTTGAGTTTCGGATACCTTAAAATATTTCATAAAATGCATGTAAATGGTTAGAATAAATTATTATATATATATTTTTTTTTCGAATTTTAAATAGTTAAATGTTTTAAATTTAAATTTAGTATAATTTTGTTCTGAAAATATAATTTATATTCTGTATTATAGATATTTATTATATCACGGACGAAAACTTACGATTTAAGATAAAAATTATGATCCAAATAAGGAAGTAAAAACTGTAAGACCTCAGAAATCAATCAGATGACCTCATATTACTCGATAACCAGTGACTTTTCAAACCGTTCAGTCCAAAATGATTTTTAAAAAAGATTTAGAAATAATTCATAATTTGAAAACAAGATAAAATCATAAATAATAATACTATCTTGAAGAAAGTTTATTCATAATTTAGTATAAATATCGTATTAAATATTAGAAATCCTTTGCAGTTTCTCCGCATTTGCTGCGCGATAACGATATAACTAATTGTAAATGAAAATGACCCTCGTTCAAGTTTCGCATCGAAATATACTTAACTAACCGCAGTTAAATTTAATCTTAAATTAATTCCATAATGTAAAATGTATTAACGATGTCGAAAAATTGATTTTCTGAATTTACTCGATTCGCAGAAATGAATGAATTATTATTTTTTTTTTCCCCAACTTATCTTTTCAGATAAGCAAATAATAAAAGATTTAAGGTGAAAAATGAAAGAATTAATGTGAATATCTGTCGTACGTGAAATGTTGTATTAAGCATTATGGAGGTTAGGAAAAGATGACAAATTGAATTAAATCGTTCAGAATATGATGTCGACAAATATAGTGTCTTTCATGAAAAAGGTAGGCAATTTTATCATTCAAATATATCTACGTGATGAAAATTTAAGTGGTTTTAAAAAATCTATTGACTTTTTTACATGTATAAATTTCATTTTAGTCACGTTTTACAATAGTTTATTTTAGTCACGTTTTGAGTGACGTTAGTAATGAATTTTTATTGCGAAAGAATAGCGCTAAGGTTAAGAGAAGTGAGGTATATCTACCGGTGGATTCGGTAATTTAATTGGTATGGTGTTTTTTTTTTCCAGATCGTTAAAGGTAGTGGTGGCGAAGATGCTATTCAGAGAACAACGAAACCCGTTCTGTCTCCCGCCGTTCAGGAAAATCCATCTGGAAGGCCTTCTCCGGGAGATTTGAAACATTTAACTAGCGAAGAAAAGCACATTTTGCAAAGAGTTTGGGAGAAAGAAGAAGAGTTCGAACAGGAAACGCAACGATTAAAGTGCGTGTTGATCTGTTATCCTCAGTGGCGCGTTATCCTATGGGCGAAAAGGGCAATTGGCTGGGGTCCCCACCGACATGAAGTCCAAACCTTTATATATCCATTACTGCAGTAAGTATATCGAAATTTAAACTTAGCGCCATGTCTGGGGACTCTAAATTGCCGATGTAACTCAGAACCTAACCCTCCAGAGGTCGAGGAAACCGGGGGATTTCCCCCAAAAGTTCCCCCGAAGAAAAATGTCTGAAGTCAACCCTGTACGTGGGGTCCCCCTAATTCAAATTTGCCCAGGCTACAAGAAGCTATAACGTGCCACTGGTTATTCTCTTTTTACATCCCGGAAGAAATTTTACAAAGTTTTATTATTTTTTCCATATTTAGAGTAAATACTAAAGCAGAAGTAACAGAAAAATATGTCAAACAGCCTTGTAGAATTTGTAGAAAAATTTTAGAACCCAACGAGAAGAGTTACATGTGTGATGGATGTCAGCAAAGAGTGTGCGACGATTGTGCTTCGTACACATCAGAAACTAATCAGGCGAGTCGAATTATGTAAATTGTTTAAAGTTCACGAATTTAAATAAATTAATTAATAACAATTTACTTTTTATACTCTCGCAAAATAATTGAAATGAAAACGTGTATTAACTTCGAAATATTATAAATTCATAAATTCATAGCAAACAAATTAAAAGGCAAATCTTAGTTTGAGATTTCATTAAAGAAAATTGGTTTAAATAAACTTGTATTTCAGTTAATTTACTACAAAATGATTTTATAATACGATATTGTCCTACAATTTGACGAAATTAATAAAAATTTCCACAAGATATTTTTATAAGCTGTAAAATCATATATTGTATTTCTGTGTTTGTTTATTTTTATTGTACAAAATATGAAGAGTTTGTATATAAGTATAAAACGTGATTTTACAGTCTGCAAAAGACTATCTGACGCTAAACTTTCTATTAGTTTCTCTGAATTACAGGACACTATCATATCATAAAATAATTATGTAGTAAATCAATTGAAATACAGGTTTATCTAAACCAGTATCCTTTAATTAAATCTTGAGTTAGGTTATACCTTTTAATTTTACTTCATATGAATTTATGAATTTCATAAATTATCGATCTGTAGATCATAAATTCATTGTTACATCATGATTCTTGGTAATAGCAGAATTTTCATATTGTCTAATGTTTATATATTATTAGAGAAATGAATTCAATCTAAATAAAAAATTTTAACGTTATCTATAGATTTTTTCAAATATTCTTAAAATAATTTATCTTATTAATTACTGAAATTAATGATCACTGCTTTTTGAATGTATATTCTATTCTTTTTATTTTGGTCACAGATAATTTAATTGCCTTATTATTATTAATGACTAATTTTTAATGCTATTCTTCCAGATTAAGTCGGACACTAGAATTTTTTTCTTTCAGCTTGTCTTTATTATAATTGAAACAAGATACATCTCCTGTCTTTGTTTCTCCTCAACTTTTACAACAATTCTTTGCATAATCCAAATACATTAAAAGAGATGAAAGGCACAATTTGGAAGAAAGTTTTGTATATAAATTACAGTTAAAAATACAGTTTTGGAGTCTTTCTTCTAATGTTAAACCTTGTTACCATTAAGATTCTAACAAAACCTTATTCTGGTTTATACGAATCCTAAAATTTCTGTCTTAAACGTTTAAAAAATTCGTTTATTAAATAAAGTTTTAGACACTCACGACTTTTAAAGGAATTAAAAACAAATTTACCAAACGTTTTATACTTTTTAAAGATTTTTTTAGCATTTTAATTGTAACAAACTTTTAAAATTAGAAGAGAAATGAAAGAAATTTTAACATTTTTAACAGTAATTTATATGTAAAGATTTTTTGTATTCACGTCTATTATCGTTCTTTGGTATGTTTAGATTGTGCAGAGAAATATAGAAGCAAATGAGGAAAGGCAGAAGCTAGAAATACGTTTTGTTTCAATTATAATGAGGAGAAATTGTTGTAGAGAAAAATCTATTTTCTTATTTAATCCGGAAAAATGACAACAGTCACAAGTTTCATTAATAAAAAGAAAAAATATGTACAGTTTTCATTAAATAATTTAAGTCTTGATGAAACTTCTTATTAGACTTCGAAATATTAATATGTTTTCTCATGTAAAAATTATTGTCTCAAAAAAAATGCTTCTCAAAATTACAAATATATTAACAAAAATGCTTCCGTTAAATTATAAAGAAAATTTTCTAAAAAGAGATAATATTCGAGTGTACATTTTTAATATATAAACAGTCAAATTATACAGCTTACATTTATCTAGAAATAAAATTTATTGTTTCATTTTGTATTAAAATTCCTTCATTGAATTATTAGATAAATCAAATTATAAAACACAGTGACATAAATATCTAAGTAAATTTTAATTCAGAGAATTTATCTTCCTATCATAACTACAAAAAAATACGTCGATAATTAAATTAATCGAATTACAGTAATATTTTGAATGGCCAGTGTCTGTTTCTACAACATAAATTCCGAAAAATAATAGTAATTCGAGATGTAAAGCTGATACCATCCTTTGTGACAAGCTTAAAATTTAATCATAAGTCTATCGTAAATCGTTTATTTTATACAAAGTTCGTTTCTTCAACAGTTATTTATAATGATAAAAAAGGAACAGACAGTTCTTCATTAGTTAATAAGAATTTTAGTAACATTCTGTTTCAAATAAAAATTTAAAGAAAAGTTTTAGATCGAAATAAAGAGATTTTAGTATAAAATTACATTTTTTTATTTTATGTAAATCACTACAAACTGAGCTATAAATCTGATGAGACAAAAAGTAATTAATTATAAGAAGTAATTCATTGTCTATTCGGGTCAATTACACGATTAAAAAACGCATTGGAATAGTAAGAATTTGAAAGGAAGAAGAGATGTTTCGTTCGTCTTCGATCAAATTTTTCTTTGCTGTAGAAAATACACATAAAGACATGGATCGAAATTAATAAATGCGTGGATATTCATCATCTTTTAAAATATCAAGCTGAATTTGAAAGACAACTAGATTCAGATTTATTTAACTGAATTTGAAATTCATAACCGGCATTTAATAAACTAAAATAAAATAAAATAGAATAAATTTCTATTAATATTATTTAAATATGTTTATCTCGATACCGAGGATCATTCAAAATTCAAAATGTCTTCCGTATTATCTAAACATATCGAAGAAATAAGAAAAAGTCAGATATTATTTTGTATGCAATTACTTTTAATTTATTGTTACTATATTATCAAAAATAATATTAATTTAAATAATTATTTATGTATATGATGGGATAAATCTATTTTATTTAATCTTATTAAATAAAGTAGAAAATAAAATTCAAATATAAAAAAGACAGCCATCGATAATTTTATTTATTATTTTCTTTTTATAAATTTTTAAAACAAGAACTCGTATTAAATGAATACGTTGAAAACTTTGAAAACAGAATGCAGAAAATTTCTGTACTTTATTTACGTAATTATAGAAATATTTTTATATTCTTCTATCATTTTTTAATAAAAAAAAAACATTCAGTCGTTGAAAATTATCTTTTTAGAAATGGATCTCGGCAGAACTACAAAAAAACTTTTTTTTTAATGTTCTTTGTAATATTTTATCTAAGACTGTACTGTACTTTCGAATAATGTAGGTTACGTGTCATATTAAGATTAATTATTCGAATTTCTGAAGCCAGTCAGAATTCGAATAAATCTATTAATTATTCGAAAATAATCCGAGAAGTAAGTAAAACTTGAAGCACCGTGATATTCCAAATTTTAAGTTGGCCAGCTGCTGAGGCCGCTTAGTAAAGTTTATAGGTCTGCTTTTTCGAGAAGTCTCGGTAATATAAGAGTAAAGAATCTTACAAATGTATCAAAATTTTGTCTATTCAGTCTATTCACTTGATTTTATAAATATTAGAAGACGTTGGCTGGATGAACAATGCGGTTTAGACATCGGACCTCCACTCTGGTGGATCCAGGATCGAATCTAGACGGTCGAAAAACTCCATGAAGGTTTTTGAATGGTTTCTTCTAGACATTCAGGCCCAGTCCCTCACCTCAGTGGGCACTAAAAAGGTTTTTTTTAGTGTCCACAAGTTAGAGACCCGAAAATGAAAGCATGTATATAAGGAGGACTGTTTTCGAAGCTTATACATTTTGTTAATATTTGCCATTAAATGCTAAAATTTTCTGCTTATCTACAGTTTAAAAAATTCACTACTTTTATTAAAGTTTAAATATGGTTAGGTAAGTATGCATTTCGGGTATTACCCGAAATGCATACTTATCTAAATTTGAAATGTGATTATTAAAGACCAACCCTTTTTTTTTTATAAAAGTTCTGGTCCTTCTTTCTGTCGGCCTTGGTGTGATAAGACCTGCAAATTGTTATACCCTATTTATTAGGTTATCTAATTCTGTAGTGGTAAATATAGTTGCATGTAGAATTATTTCTTAGTTTCCATTGCAGAGCACTTAAGTATTTAACAGGTAACTGCCGCTTTACTTTCTTATTCGGAAGCGATCATATATTTTAATATTATAAAATGATAGATAACATTACTTTCTTGTAGAAACAGATCATTTATCATTAATAATTCTACAGATGGAATACAAGATATATAAATTATTTTGATTTCAAAATATTCTTCTATCGTTCATCGATAAGCTCTTCTCGATAAGATCTTCTCGATAAGCTCTTCTCGATGGATTCCTTTTTTATGGCATACTTTGTAATAAATATTATTTAAACACTAAACGAAACATTTTAAATTTTTTCTATTTAAATGCTTTTTTACAATTATTTGTTTTGATATTCAAAAACAAAGAATATTCAAATTCAAATTCTTCTCGTGACATATAAAATTCGTGTATATCAGTTGAAGTAGAGGGTGTTATTCATTTATAACCCTTTAAAAAATGAATATTATTCGAACTAACATCGGAAATATTCTAAATTATGCAAATAACAATACCGAGATCGATTTAACGGACAGTTTTCGATTAAAAAATGAATGTTGTTTGATATTAACTATTAAAGTAAAATGTCCACTTTTCGTTTCAGGAATGGAAATGTAGCTTTTGCAGAAGACGCCATCACAATCAGGTTTCGAGAATCACGGTAAGTCGAGCATGTTGTAAATACTTAGATAAACGACTTCTATATTTCAAGGGAACGAGTTTACGGCTATTGTAAGACTCGCTAATAAATCATTGGTAGTGTCGCAGAATCAAAGAAACGGGACGAAAGTAATAAAACGAAAACTAACACGTCGTTGTAACAGCCGGAAACTAATTCGTTGTAATCCTTGTTGGTAAATCTTAGAAATATCTCTCTAATTGCGAATGGCGCTTCTTTAATTACACGTTATTAAAACAGAAGAAAGGAAAAATCTTATAATTTAATCCTTTGTTCTTGACATTTAATCTTTCCATTCTTTCTTAGTTGATCATCTGTTCTTATAAGTGATGTCCAATTCGCGCAAAAATCAAATATTGTTTCTTTTTATTTTAATAATTAAAACTTCTGATAATAATTTAACTTTCAGATAGAACTTTCGAAGTTATAGCCACCAATTACAGTAATATATTTATATTATGCTTTAGTGTAAATTTATGTTAACTCTTGTGAAGAATAGTAAAGTTTTATTTATTTATTTATTGTAGTAAGAAATGCTTTCTTTAATCGTGTTGAATATTTTAGTTAATTATTTCCAATTTAATCAAAAAATATCCCGGGGAAAAATATGAGTTTCATATATTTTTTCAGAACATTTTACTTCTTAAAAACTTCATGCATTGAAATAATTAGCTGCCTTTATTTCCTTTNATATAATATTATTAATATTATTAAAAAGCTAAATGTAAGTTTTTATGAAGATATGATTTAATTGATCTGCATAGGCATGACCTACAATGTTTTATGAAAATCCGTTTGAAAACTTCCCGTAGAAAATAAATAAAACTTAGAAAAACTAAATTTATTCAGTATGCTGGTGCTGGAAAACCGCCGAACTGTTTATTTTATCAATTGGCGTGACAGCAGCGATTTGTATGGCAGTTGAAACTCATTTGCATCGTTTGAATGCTGTTAAGAGTTTTCTACTAAAACAGTCGATTCGAGGATAATTTATGTCAACGAAACTTTAAAAATGTCTTATACGAATACAGATTACATTTTTTAATATACTGTATTAAAATATTTCAATTAAGAAAACGATATAAAAAACTTGGAGACAGTATATCATGGAAGCTGTCGATCAAATTGTAACAACCACTTATTCGATCGTACGGTAGAGACGATATTTCTATTTAATAAGGCAGAAGTAAATATTGCTAGAAGAATTAGTTAGCCATGTCCTTGTCATTCATAGTATAAAGATTTATGTATCGGGAAGATGCGAGTGTCATCGGGATCACTCGTGCGTATTACCTTCAACATATCTTCATTCCGAAGACTCGACTAGGATTTAACTTTACTTTTCTCTTCCTTACATCTATTCATCTTCACTTCGCTAACAACGTGATTACTACAAAGTAGACACAGATGTCATCTTCTTGTGCTAACGATTCGTCTTTTTTCCCTCCTCTCTCTAAATGCTCTGCACCCATCAAATAGATGTGACAGATGGCATCTCATTAACGCTCATTCTTTGGCAATATCGTAAATACCTTTTTATTACCTCAAATATGTAGTTTACTCTTTAATAAAAGGTGTTATTTATTCATATCATTTCTTACTCGCTAATGTATTTTAATAATTAAGAAGTAATATTTTGGATAAATTATGGCTTCGAGAAAATTTGCAATGTTGTTATAAAAAGCCTATAGAATATCATTCTTTCGAAATCATTTCTTGATGTAAAACGTCTGGATATATTAAAGTTATCTACGATTTATAATTATAAAACTTTATTTTTTTCAATAAACTGTACGTACTGTACGTATGAATTTTTTTAAAGATTTAATTTAGAAGTATCGCAATTATGGTATAAATTGACAACAATACCTAATTGAGAGTTATTACAATTAAATATTTAGTCAATGAAAAATCGATTTGTGAAGATTGACATATTTTAATCACGTTTACTGCAGACACTGCATACTTCCTTACAAGAATAGTTTCAGATATCAATTACTTGTTTACAAGTCTCACTTCCCCGTTCTTTAATTAAAATTATTTTTTTTTCAGCATTAATGCTTTATTGTTGAGGAGGACATTTTAAAATTTTTGTTTAAACGAAAAGTAGAAGTGAGTAAATTTTTCTGTCTCGAATGTATGATACTACTTAAATTAGACTTTTAAAAATTAAAATGAAATAATATAAAATTTAAGTGAAGCATGTCTTCGATTCAATAGGATAAGATTTGCGTGTGTTGGCTTTATTCTGGTCCATTGATGCTGTCTTTAAATAGAAGAGATGCTGGCGTAGACATTAAATAAGTTCATTTTCTATCTTGGCAACCAAATGCAGTTTGTAGTTTTGCTGACTAAAGAGAAGATGATATTTTTTCAAATGTATTATATCACAAACTTGGAATATTTGTTTTTGTATTGTTTTGTTATAAACAGAATTTCAGAGTTGTACCATAAAAAATATGTTAATTCATCGTTTAGAAAATTAAACTATTAACAAATATACTTTTATTTTGTCTTTAGAAAACAAGAAAAGATTATTTTATTTGATAGATATTATAAACTAAATTGCTAGTGTAAGCTATTCAAAATATTAAAGATAATAATAATAAGTATTTAAGGAAGGATATATTTTGTAGTCTAGCATGCTATGACTTTGTGGATAATTTTAATTTTGCATGGTGTATTCGCTAGCATATTGATGAGTGCACTATGCATGAAGGAAGGAAACAATGTCTATGAGGAAGGAACAGAAGACTCGAACTTCAGATTCTTCATCTTTCACATTTCTAGTCAAGTGGCATTCATCTGTCACATTTAAAAAAGAATAATTCAAAATAATTTAGCTAAGGATATTATAATAAAACTTCGAGAGAATGAAATTACTGGACTCACAATATCTATGTATGTGGAGACATTCGCTATATACAACTGACGTGTTAATCTAATTAAAAGAATACGTCTAGTTTTCTGTTTAAAATATGTTATTTCAATATACGGTAGGTCTATTTTATTCAAATTATTATCTTGAATAAAATTATGAGAGAAAATTGTCACCGATTCAATAAAGATTCACTATTCTATTAATTCATTTTAAAATAAATTGTTTTTAAACATTAAATGGTATATTTTTTATAATAGCATAAACTTATATAATTATTATATAATTGAAGCATCTTATATTTACAATTTTATATTTAATTTAAGTATGAAGTTTTCTATAAAGGATCATAAAAATATTTTACGAAACAAATTTACCAATTAAAAATTGGTAAATTGTTCTTATTCAAATACTAAAGACTATCAAAATACAATGACATATTTTACAGTTAATCTTTATAAACTATTTTGTTTTTGATTTAATATTGAATTGTTTTTAAATATTTTGGCATATTATTCAGTTTTTCCATTCTATATTATTGTCATAAAATAGAATGGAAAGACTGATTAAAGATTAACTGTAAAAGACGTTATTATATTTTTATACACTTTTAATACTTAAATAAGACTGAGTAAAGAAAAAACAATTTAAGTGAGCATATTATATATCAAATAATATGGTGGTCACTGTTAATTGGCCACTAATTATGAATGAAGTTTGTTTCCGGGCTTTGTATTAAATAAAAATCAGTAGGCTTGTATCTACATAACTCTTTCATCTTATTTTATCAGAAAGCAAATTTAATAAAGAATACTTTAACGTATTCAAATTTAAAATTGAATAATATTCCGTGTAGATGTAGGGGAAAAGGGAACACAAAATTATCTAACAGGAAAATGGAGATGGCAATTAAGTTCAATTTGACCAATCAGATGCCTATTTTTGTACTAGTATAAGCACGAGAATGCAAAAGTGAACGTGAAACACATATGCAGCTATAATCGTTCTTTTGGATATAAATTAAGATTACTTGCTTAATTATAATTTCTCATGTCGACAGGCAAACGTCTTAGTGATGAGAACAGGTACAAAGTTTTTCTTTCTAAGAGAATGCAGCCACAGTTGTAGAGAAATTGCCACTGTTTCAAAGTGTCATTCCAGTTCTGTTTCGAGAACTCTCAAAAGATATAAAGCTACTGGCGAGGTTGCCGATAGACCGCGTACAGGTCGAAGCAGAATCACGTCTTCTCGAGGGGATCGAATTTTCCAGCGGCTGTCACTCTCTGGTCGTCTGCTGAATTGTAATGAACTTCAACGCCAGATGTCAGAAAATCACAATGTGGCTATTAGTACACGCACGGTCTCACGCCGACTTAGAGAAAATGGCCCGAAAGCTTGTAAAGATTGAAGAAAACCACTGGTTACTGAAAGCGACTCTATCGATGTGTTGAGTAGGCAAAACAGAACAAAAATTGTACAGTGGGAAGTGAAGGAAAGTCATTTGGAGTGACGAGACTATTTTCTTAATTTCCCAGATCAATGGCAGCATGTGGGTTCGCCGACGATAAAATGAAAAGTTCATTCTTGCATCATCCAGCATCCTCCAAAGATGATGATTGGGCTTGCGTGTCAGTCTGTGGTATGGGCCAGACGCAAATCATGTGGACTCAATGAACGGTGCAAAATAGTTGAATTACCGGAACGGAAATTGTAGCCTTTTGCAGCGACGCTTATCCCTAACAATGACTTCATTTTTATGGGTGAAAATGTACCGTGTCTTGTCATCGTGCCAGGTATATTCAACAATGGTTTAAGCAGCGCAACATACAGAAATTTCCTTTGCTCGCTCAGTTTCTATACATTAAATTTAAAATTTAATTTATATATGTTTAAATTCTATAATTTATACAAATTGAAATAGCGCAATCTACTATTTTAATTTAAATAATGTCCGAAACAAACTTTTAAAATATTCGTAAATTTTGATAATTAGAAATTTATCTTGAAATTTTGAAATTTATAGCTCCGAGAGATTCAGAAATTTACCAAAATTCTAATCAGGAAATGCATTGGGTTCGATTTCCATACAAATGTGCTTAACTTT